CAGCTGAGGTGGTTAAGACGTAATCTTAATTTAAGAAAAAAAGCTTGCGATGACGGAATCAAGACATATATTATCCACCTAAAAAGTCTGATTGTTGACATTAGGTGTATGTAGGGAAGCACTGACTATAAGACTGGAATAGTTGAAATGCCAGCAATCATCAGTTACATGGCCAAAAATCAATCACAGCAGGGTAGTTGAGTGCACATTATATCACCTAAGAACTTTCGACTACTTACTTGGCGCTTATTTGTTTGTTGATAAAATACTTTCACTAGCGGAGTGCTGAAAATCGAACAGAGAAACTGTAAAGATTTTAAAGGTTCACTCATCTACTTCCCAGTTTTGCTTTTTAGACTGCTTCAACTCATGAATTATTACAGTGTCTTGGTTGTCTTTTATTACTAAAAGTAAGTACGTCTTATGTTTTTACTGGGTCATCGGGTTACGTTTTTCTTTTCTTCCTTCAGATTCTCGTGGTCGTTGCAAAACCTACACTCTTCTATGATCCCCTTCTCAATAACGTAACTGGAGGCCACATGAAAGCCAACCAACAGCTATTCGTGACAAACTTCTTAGCGAAATCTCAAGTATTATACGTCTACTTCTCTTTCCACTTGACGAGACATATGACAGTGATAAAATGGAAAAAAGAAATTAACAAATAATAACTAGAGAAGCTACTAACTGCTTTGCGTTAAAGTAAATACTGATACTAGTTTGGACGTTAAAAAGTAACATTTGTGGTTGTAGGTCATCCAAAGGATGCGCAGTAAAATTGCAATTGAATAGTGACACTATACACTTGAAATCTTTGATAGATCTCGACTAAACAAGAAGAACCCGGTTTGGAGGATAAAATGAAGTCATCTTATTTCCTAGATACTCAGCCGCATGCAGTATAAATTAACAAGGGTTATCATGGTATACAACCATTTAAAATTAAGATATCAAAAATCTTAAATTTCACACTGAAAATCATTGCAGTTCTACATCATATGTAAGAGGATTGTACTCAGGGATAACAAATGTAAAAACAACAATCGTCAATACTAATAAACCGATTTTGAACCACTCAAAGGAATGAAATTCATATGATTGCGATCAGTCGGTGAATAGAATAAAGAATTATGTAGTTAAAACGAAACAAGATCAAATCAAAGTCAAAATGGAAGCGAAGGATAGACCACATTCTTCTTCTATATCCAAACATCCGGTTGAAAGGGTTTTATTCAGATTACTTCCGAGTCCAGGAATTTTTTTTAAAAGCAGCAGATGTATCAACCTGATGGTCTGTGTTTACTGTGTCGGCCAATCGCACAGGTTAGAATCTTGCTTCTTTTCAGATATAAATTCTTCTCAATATGCGCAGTGAATGGAATGGACGCCCTCCTCTCAGTTTTTCCGATGTACTTGCTACAGCAAGTGCATGTGAATTCATAAATGCAGTCGCAGGTGACGTCAGAATTTAGACTTATTCGCTTAGTATGGAGTATGGTATAATGATACAAATTTGGCTGCGTGGAAACTTCTTTTTGTATCCTTTTGATTCTTGTCTTTATTCCGTTGGATAATACTTCTCCCTTGAACAAAAGATGAATAAAAACATTCTTTTCAAAGTTTGGGTGCTTAATTCTCTCGACTTGTTCTTTTTAACCTCTAAAGATGTCCATTCTCTCCAAGACACTTTTTCTAAAATGCTTAGATCTTCTTCCAACTTGTCAGTAGAACATTAGTTTCTGGCTTTAGTCTTAAGTGAGTTTTGTCTAACCCGTACCTATAGCTGACAAGACAAAACCGGTTCTAATTAAGGTATTGTTCAGTCCATGATTTTTTCTTATGGATGGTCTATTTTTCAGTGATACCCTTGTTCCTTTTTCTCGGCTTGAGGTCTAAAGTGTTGAACTTGTTGTCCTGCTCATATCTCACCATACATTTATGTTAGAATGAACCTAGTTAAACTTGTCGATCAACAGAGTTGCTTGTTCATATCGTTACAAACAACAAATATATCATCAATGCATCCGTGGTTATAAGTTTTTCTTCCAATGACTGAACTTATGCGCATTTGTTTGAGATATATCATGAAGATATCTGATGAGAGAGATCCTAGAGGTGACCCAGTGAACTGGGTGTTAATTTCGAACTGGACATCTTGTGTCCGAAGGACCCATTGGTAAATTTATAAACAAAGATGCTATATCGCATGATACCATGAGGTTAGTTAGTTTCAAAATGATCTAATTCGTTCAAAAACTGAAATGTATTTTGCAAGCTGTGGATCAACAACTTACTGTGGATAGGCTAAAAATGACATCTCTGAACAGATGTTTTGTTCTAGTACTAAACTGCTCATCAGTAAGCACCCATCACCATGGGAGTGATACAGCGCAGGAACTTCAGTTTCGGAGCCAGCACGTTAAATTCCACCACGGGTTAGAATCCAAAGGTCTACATTTGCCTGTATCTGTCAGTTCGTTATACACTACGAACTTCATTCAATGCCACTGTTGAGTATTTAACGTCAGATCCGACTTGGTTCGCCCCAGAGGTCATCATTTCCTACTAGAACTTCGGGAAATCACATCTGGAAGCGAGTCACTAATGAGTACACCAATTCCCTAGCAACTTGATGGATGGGTACTGCTAAGGAGCCTCATTCTAGGACCGAACAGCTCCCCGGTGTTCAATGGTTCTCCAACTGTTGTCAATCCATGATGAATACCAGCTTGAAACTAATCAATCCCCACAAAAATCCAAATTAAATTATTTATCAACCCAAACCAAATGTACTGGGAAACGTACTCTTCCACTTATTCTCTGCCGTATAAGTCTAAACCATAATAATGTGTGAAGAAACAGTTTGTACAAAGAATTTCGTTACCTTTGACTAAGTTTGTTGGTATACTCGTAATTCTCCACTACGTGCGTCCTGGATTTCTTTGCTGGCCACCACCAGCTAAGTTTGACTAAGTTTGTCACACTGACCGAATTGCCTAGTCATATATATTTATCCTCCCGTAGTCAGGTAGTTTTAACTCTAAAGTCTGTTATTTTCCTGTAGCGTACACTTCTCAATTTATTAAGAAAACCATTCGTAACTTATAAGATTTCCTTAGTTAACAGTATCACAACATACTTATTGAAACTTCTAATATACTAAACAGATCGAAGAAAAAGTGAGGCACTCATTGTTGCATTATTTATCTTAGACACTGAAACGCCTGTGCTATAGACGGTCAACAAAACTTATTCTCCATAACGACTTCTCTACCTTCTTACTCCGTTAGTTGTCTTGCCAATGAGAGTCAACAAACACCAAAACCTAGTTCCATATCTTCATGTCAATCACCTCAAATCAACCAACATCTGTCTCAATGCATTGTGATGAGGAGTTATCCAGCTTCATGACCACACTACAAAATGATAGACAGAATTAGATCAGCCTCTAGGACTAGATAAAATGACCAATCATTGGGGGGTATCACAACGATTAATGCCTTTTTACTATTTTTGTGCATAAATCATTTCACACCCTTCCATTGACACTAAAACATGTCATGCTCCATTTTAAGGGTTTCACACATTCTGACTGATCGTGATCTAGACACTGTAAAGAGATCAATTAACCTATTTTGTCGGGACTTCATTGTAACAAAGGTTAAGGTTTGGTCTACTTTCAGTTCCTTCATGCTAACCGGCTATACGCTAACTGTCACCTACACCCACAGAAATCTACATACTACTAAACAGTTTATCGAAACTTCATTGACAACGTTTTACTGAAGTGCTGCTGGTTATGGCTAACAGTAGGATCCAGAACTTGCATTTCGTTCTGTTTGGGACTGGCTCGCCAGCTGGATGTAACTGCAACCCATTGAGTGATGTTTTTTCAATTGGAACTCAAATCCAGTACCCATCGATTTAAACGCCAAAACGTTATCCATTAGGCCACTGAGGTACGACAGCCGCATCTTTTACCACGGGTATTACTTATTACTACCTGTTGATATACTTGTGATTCTTCGTTGTTATGCTGGGTCGAATTCCTAGACCTCTGTTTTCATAAAGGCTATTTAGCCACTGGTTCGCTGTCGAGTGGTTCACATTATCCTACTTCGGCATGTCAATCAATGGATGATATAGCGCAACCATCACTCAATACCACTGGCGAGTATTTATCCTAACACCCGACTTAGTCGACCGCACACTTCACAGTTGCTGATTAAACTATCACAAAATCTATCTAAAAACAAGTTACCAATAAACACTAGACAGTTATTCAATAATACTGAATAATGTACAGTTTTGTACTTTTGTTACATGTATACAAATAATACTCTATCTTTGCTTCTTTGGAAATGAATGATTTTAATACTTTTTGAATAAAGGTGGATAACGCCTTGGCGCTTGAAGCGATGGGTACGAGGTTCGAGTCTCAGTGGGAACAACATCACTCACTGGGGTGTAGGTAAATTCAGCTGACGAGTCCCAAATGGGACGAAACGCGTTTTCTGGATTCTTCTGCTAGCCACGATCAAGCAAGATCATCATAATAAAATTAGAGTTATAATTATATATATATATATATATATATATATATATATATATATATTTGAATAAGTCGGCAAAACGCATTCAGAAATCTACAAATTATAAAAGTTTGTTTTGTTAAAGTGAACTAAAAGTTGAATATATGTGAATTATTGTCTAACCAGCTGTTGTCATGTTATATGGAATGAAAAAAGTAGTCAGATTTTTCATATAATAGAATTAAAGAATGAGAGATGGAGATTAGTTATTTAATCACTTCATATTAATTGCTTCTCTGCTCAAATATCAATAACCGCATCTAACTAACGAGGTTATTAGTTGATTTGAAATAAACTTATCCTCTAATGTGAAAATATTTCATGAAATTTTGAGAACAATACTGATAACTCATCACATCTGATACGATTTGAAGGAAGATCCTTCGTTAACCAACATGGTAACATTTGGATGGCACTCAGTATCTACAGCATAGTGTTTCCCTCTCTTTGTCGACATCGGCTTTTAAATATTCAGTGTTCTTCATTAAGAAGAACCAATAAAAACAATATTATTTACAATCTTTAAAAGATAAACAGCTTCTACTGTGTATATTTCTCACATGTCTTTGCATATTCGATGAAATACTGAAAAGTCGATCACAATGTGGACACCGATATGGTTGCTCCCCAGTATGCGTACGAATATGACGATTCAAGTTAGCTGCACGTGGAAATTGTTTATAGCATACACTACATGTGTAATGATTCTCATACATATTATTACTATCATTACTATTATTGTTATTATTATTTTGTGTTGATTGTGTAGATGAATACTTTTCTACATCATGGACTGAATTGAACACATTAAATTCCATACTTGAATTTTGGTTCATAGTACTGCTAGTCGTATTAGTAGTAGAGTGGTGTTTTTTCTTGTTACTTCGTTAATTTTTCCAATTTGATTTTTTTGATAAGGTGATTTTGTAGATTCTATCCAAGGTTTTTGAGTTGTACACATGGCATTACTAACAATCTCATGTAAGTAATGTATATTTCGGTTGTCATATAAACAGTCTTTCATTGAATTTACTGCATTAGTATTCTTCAAGTTTGATTTAATTGTTTGTTTATCCAAGTTAAAATCATATTTTCCTTCATATTCCCCTCTTTCAAATGAAGATATAGAAGAAATGTGTTCAATGTCCATTTTATTAGAACTACACAAATTGGATAAATCTAAAGGATTTGGAGTGGTCTCATCTCTTATTCGCTGCATATCATCCACTGTTCTATATTCATTCTTTGATAAAATTTGTGTTATTTGTGAAGCATTCTTATATCTTGACCTAAATTTTGACAAAACAGTGAAATACAAAACTGGCACATTAATTCGTGCTAAAAAATGTGTTGCATAGAATAAACTTACAGTTATGCAGAAACGTACAGGAAAGGAAACAAAGGGATAGATAGAAAATAAGGTATACTGCTAACTGTAATTAATAATTCTAGATCACTCATATCGATCAGCAGTACATGCTAGTCAGATCAAGGTAATCGAAACACTTGACAGCTATTTTGTTCTTTTGAAGCTGAGCTCACCAGAGGTGTACCCGAACTGCTAAAACCATCTGAGTTCCGTTAAGCTACTCGGGCACATTAGTCATACTCAGAATCAGACTTGGTATTTGCGAAAATACGCAGTCTACGGTGAGAAATCTCACCGTGGTCGATTTCAATGCCCTAGAAATACTCATGTTACTCAGTAGTATATTATGTACAGTTTCTTGCTGACGATCTTACACCAGTTCCCATGTCCGCAGATCATATGATACGATCTGAATATTTTGGTTCGCTTAAGAAACCATGGATTACGTATTCTTGCAAACACTTTATATGATTCTCCATAGAAAACGTTTATAAACAGGGAACCAGTCGCATGAGACCCATTTTAGAAGCCATCTGAATTTGATTTAAGCAGCATGTCGAGGTTGAACTCAAAGTCTCAGTTAAATGTGGCAAACAAATATAGTGCATGTAAATATTGATTTCGTTGATCACTCGATAATATCTGTCCGTAGTCAGCTTATTCTGATTTAAAATGTAAAACTAATTTATCACCTACAATATATCCTGATATTTAATTCCAGCACATTTGTTAAAAAGATCTTTACTTTGCTGAATGACTATTGTGTAACTTTAGGTTACCTAAATATTATCAACATTTCCAGATTTTTCAAATTATTCGATGTTGGTTGCGCTTTGAAGTGTATAGAAGTGAAGAAGTAGGGGAAACCGGATTCTGACCCAGCGGTCACATAATATTATGCTCATCACAAAACTTGAAGGACCTCGGTTTTAGCCCTGATGAAATCATGGGTCTGAACTACTGAGAATTCCAGACCAAGGTATAACAGCTATCCCACTTTCTCAATAGTGCTTCAACTTATCTCAGTACACGATAAATAGCACCAAGAAATATGTAATAAGTCTTGAGCGATGACGATTTTGATTTCGAAGCAGAATTCACCATGGATTGATGTCATCGGGGGACTACTGAAAACCTGGAAGTACTAGACAGCTGTTTCATCCCAGTATGGGACTCAGCAGTACACACCCATGAGCTAGCTAGGGATCGAACTCAGGACCTTCAGGTTTCACGGCGAACGCGCTAACTATGTGGTCCACAGTTTCCAACTTCTGTCGATTCACAATATAGCTCGACTATCACCCAAGGCCTTCATGATGTTCCAGTTGTCATTCTAGAAAACATCATCAACACAGACTCCACAAAAAAGTGAGCTGTGGGGTTATATCCAGAAGCGCTTTAATAGCTTGTCCTGATGACCTTCATTGGTTGTTGCTACTGAAATCGTGTCACTGTCTGCATCCACATTTCAACTGATTGTCCTGCCGACGTCAGCTACGACCATTTTGTCTTTGTGTCTCCTATTGTTTGATCAGTTGGGTCAGTGTCAGTGTGTTTGTTACCTGCTGACTGAAAACGCCAAAATTTTAAAAATTATCTCACATCCTTTGTATTTACTCAAGGGATGATTTTCACGTTTTCTCAGTGGAATTCTTATCCACAACTGTCGACATATATTGGTATGAGAGACGATTTGTCACGACACTTCCCTGCTAATTGGTGTTCAAGTAGATGGATACGAAAATGACGACCATCCTGTCGAAAATAGTGTTTTCATCACTTTCTGCAGTTTGTTTTGTAAACATTATTCACCTTCTATTCCTTTTTTATTGTATCTTTTGACCTGCATAACAGAGACTGAAGAGATTTTGTAGGCTTGTGAGTTAAACTGACTTCAAAACGCTTTAAATATCTGAAGGCTGTACATCTGTATTCGTATATGACAAGTACCTAACGGTGTATTACTGAATAACAACAGTATAGCGAATAGTTCAAACTGAAATAAAGAGTTGAGACGAGTTTAATATCACCGTCTACAATGTTGTACAGTTCGACTGACCATGATCTTTATATCAACGTATGGATCTCAACATACGCATAAGTTCTGTTTGCGGTTTTCATATAATAACTATAATACGAATGTCCACTGAACACCTAAAACGCTACTAAAAATTAGACAGAATTAAGAGAAAACTGACCAATAAACATGGGTCTAGCTATTGATTTTTTGTTTTCTAGTCCATCATTTCTATTGAATAGTTATGAATTTTAGCTAGGTAGGCTTCAAGTACTCACCAATACTCTAATCAACAAAAGTATCTCTTATGGTATAAATTCAGATAATGTTATAACATTTTGTATCATCTGCAATAAAAATGCTGAATGATGTCATATACCTGTTGCGAAGATAATTTCCTAGAAGCTAGGTGAATTTTACCTTCAAGTTTTATACTACTATGTATGGTGTTCACTGGACTCAAATTACTGTTGGTTGTTGCTTACTTGGACCATCCACATAATATTAAGTTTCATTAGATAAGAAAGAATACTGAGGAAATTATTGTTCGAGTAGTGTCTAGATTAGGTGGAGCATAGTAGACAGGACAGGCAAGTTATGTGATGCAGTCTCCAACCTTTCCTAATGAAGACGGTTTGGACACGTATAGTGCGTACCGAGCCACCATTTACGTCAATATGCAATATTAGTAGACTTAGGAATAGGTAAGAAGAAGGCTCTAGGTGGCCAGGCAGGGACACAGTAAGAGTCCATGAAATCTATGGCTATTGGTCTGAGCCGTATATAGATCACCTGGATAGGGTCCCCGACATAATAGAAATCAAAGGTTAGACAGTTAGATGGGTCAATCACAATGGCGGGGATGTATTAGCTCTCTAACCTCTTCTAAAGCCTGATTATTTTCAATAACCTCCACTTTCAAATTATTTCTCCTTCGACACTTTTTTGTTTGTTTTGATGCCACTCTTATTCAACCTAATTCTTCTGTGCATGTTGTTGTGAGGTGTGGAAAACTGGACTGATACACTCCTATATGAGGTTCTATGTTAATTTCATCTCTCTCTCTATCTGGATAGTGGATTGACAGAATACCTCTTAACTGTCATATTCATCTCGGTGATTGGCAGTGGAATCCAGGATACACGTTAAGTCCTATTCGGTACTTGTCAGCTGAATGTACCTGCTTCTAAGTGATTGATGTTATTCCCACTGGGACTCGAACCCAGTGTCTTTAACTTTAAACGGCAAAGCATTATCGATAAGACGATGAGATGTGCATCTTGGATTCCACTGCTGGTCACTCAGATGAACATGACATCATAAATATCCGGCAGTATTTAGGGATCTTCACAGGAACCCATCTGCCAACAGACGTCGAGCAACCCCCCCCCCACAAGAAATTACAAGTATCAAAATAACTCTTTATTACCATTAATGATACTGAATATTTTGATCAATAATACAGAATTTAATTTTAAACTCACTTATAATTTTTCTTTGAATCATAGTCACGAGAATTATCAATCTCTGAATTTATTTCTTCTGGAATTATTGATGACTGTGTTCTGTATTCTTTGAGAATTTGAGGAGTAGATGATTTTGAGTAATGATCACACTTATTTGTATATCGGTTGACTTGTTTCCCTTTCCCTTCATCACAAAAACATGCTATACCTTTTTGAATTTGTTGACATTCTAAATGATCAACAGTTTTAAATGAAGTTTTTCAAGGTTAATTACTTGTGCTAAATTTAATCTACTGTTTTTACGTTTTCGATCATTTTCGTTACGCCTCAGTTCAGTTAAACGTCTCGTTGGTTTTTTATGCAGATTGTAATAATTTGACAAAAAAGGATCTTTAGTTGAGTTTTTCTCACTGTTGAGGTTGTCATTGTTGTTGTTTTTCAAAGAGGTATTGCCACACGATGTCAAAACTTGATGTTTTAACAATGAATAAGTATTTGCAAACTCATGTCCACAAGATGAACAGTCTGGTTTCTGTCTACAGCGTTTATGTAGACGTTTATGTCGACAAAGATTACTGAATTGAGTATAAGCTTTATGACAAACCTGTTTAGAGATTTAGAAATAAGACGTATTGAAGTTTTAGTGATTTGAACTTCTCAGTAAATTTTAAAAGTTATTTTATTACTAGTGGGGATTTATCTAGCAATCAACCAATTTAAAAGGGAAAATGTTAGATTTTGTGATCGTTTTTCTAATCCTGACAAGTAAACACTTGTTTTTGGACATTTCATCAATAAACTAAGTGATTTCACCAACAATTACTTATTTAGCATCCTCATGATAAGCTCCAAAATGTCTCTACGATCTCAAATATATATATTTATAAGTAAGCTGACCTTCAACCACAGGGATGGCATCTATCCATCTGGTTCCATTTTTCTGGTGCTAGATGTTGAAAGGCTCTAAACGTAAATTAAGTCCTTGTTCGTCACTCATCAGTAAGGGTTGTCTGCAACTGTGAAGTATTAGCTCTGAGTGACACAGGTTAGAATTTCTGGGGGAGTACGATTTTATTCATGATATTTTATAGTTCTTATTGTCACCAAGTATAAAAAGGGAAATTTAAGACTTTCAGCTAGTTGGTCCTTAACATTTGAAACTGAAATGAAGTGTGCCGCTATGTCAGGTCACTTCAGTTAGTGCTTAATACTAAGGAGATGACAGAAATATCAGTTATCAACTAGTGACCAATTCATGCACATCTGACCAAAACCAACCAACGTTATACCTTTTCGATTCATTAGAGCAAAATGTATGTTACACTTCACAATTCTGATAGTTTGCTGATACATTTATACATTTTACTACCTTTTTGATAGGTAAACCACTTCAACAATTTTCTAGTTCATCTCAGCTACTCTCAACTTGAGTAAAAGGCAGCTGGACAGTTATCTACACCTGTATATATCAAACAAAAATTCATCCCTGTTACAGATTACTCAGTAATATGTGAACAGTCTTTGAAAGTGAACACTGAAGGTCTCCTTAATTTCGAGAATTCTTATCAGTTACATGCAGCCTAAAGCCAGTTTAATACACAAATAGGTGAGTGGAGGTTATGTCTCAGTGAAAACAAAACATTGATACTGATTAATTGAATCTAGTTGAAATGAGTAACAAATACACTCGAAATAAAAAGGATAGTTTATTTGAAGACAATAATCTACTAAGTTTAGTGGGAAAAAGGCAACAGAATTGATAATCATTGCAAAAGGTCAAGCAATTTTCAAGATAAAGAGGAAAAGATAAGCGAAAACCAGACCGGATAAAGATCCAGTGTTGTTATCAAGACCGAAAGTGATTGTGGAAGCAATATGTTATCCGCTGTCAAAGTTGTCAAGAAATGTATGAGAAACTGTTCTGCAGGAAATGCACAGACTCTTCAAGGAACGATAACAGATAACTCAGTAAAATCCTAGGTATCTCAATTCCTTTGCCTTTAAGACCTGAAATTCCTTGAAGCTTTTCATCCTCCATGTTCAATAATGTCAGTGTGCAGGCAACCAACTCACAAGCTTCCTCAGTAGTCAGTTTGGTTGTTAGATCCCGTTAGAAAAACAGTTTTTTAGGTTTGTTTTAAAAGATACTTCCGAGTTAGTTGAATATCTGCATAATATTTATCTCGAAAACAGAATTATGTTTTCTCTTAACATAGGTTCTTTTTTTACTAGTATCCTTTTGATGCAAATACTTGGTCTTTTACATCATTATACATCCGCCAATAATATTCTATCACCAATCCATTTTTCTTATCTAAAGGGTCTTCTTCTCTTATCTGCCAGTAGTGTTAAATTTAAGTCGGAGGTTTAACATTTTCTTTAAATTGATGATATGGCCACGAGAAGCCCTTCAGGTTAAAAATCCTATTGGAAAAGTACATTTCTACAAAAACATGTGAATGACATAGTAATTGTATGTGAAAAGCCAGAAGATACTATTTTGGTTCTCAATCGAATGAACAAAGCTGAGAATCGCAAATCCTTAGCATGAGAGAAGGGTAAAGATAGCTAACTATCTACGATTCCAGACATCTTGATAGCGCCCTGGCAAGATGGGTCAATTAAATAATCCATCTATAAGAAATCAACAGGAACAGGAAAGTACATAAGTTACCATAGTTTCTAACCACTTCAGTATAAACAAGTACTAATCAAGCGTCTGAACAATCATATTCAAAGAATAAACTCAAATGACACTTAAGAGAAAACGCAAAACCTTATCAGAGTATTATTAGACTACAGTTTTCTCCTGAAATTTATTCATCGTGATAAAAATAAAGAACGAAGAAGATCCATTATTAAGTCATTTCTAAAGAAAGATATCTTTGTCACAGTACCACATATAAGCGATTCACATATTCTGACAGCTAGACAAAAAGATAGCGCAACTAGTTGAGGGGCGTACTATTCACCAAAAGTTAATATCATGGAGGAAACAAATTTCATTCATTAGTGAGTACTTTCCCAACATTTAGACGATGAGTTCACGTCCAATCACGTTTATAGGTTCACATATGCATGTGGTCACACATATATTGGGAAAACTCATCGACCTATGAAGAGAGGGGTCATGGAATATATTCCAAATTATCTGTAACAAGAAATCAAATATTATGGATGAATAGTGGCTAGCGGCGGAATCCAGAATGAGTGCTATGTTTTATTTATGACTCTCAGCTGAATGTACCTGCATGTCAGTGGGTGGCGACATAAAAACTATACCCTGTCGCGCAAGAAGTATTTATCAGGACTTGGTGGCCTAGTGGATAACAGTCTGACATTTGAAGTGGTCGGTTCTGAGTTTGGGTCTAAGTGACACCACACAGCTCACAGTGAGGCAAGTACATCCGGCTTACCAGTCCAGAAAGGGACGAAACACGCCTTCTGGACTCAGCTGCTAGCCACCAACAATCAATAATATTCAGAAGACATTTGAATACATTGAAGTTACGAGGCTCACAATCACAAGTCTACCACTTCACCATTTACTACATGAGAGCCAGATGTTGAATAGATTTAAGGTTCACATCAACCTCAAACCATATTGTGAAGTCTTTGTGTGAATATAAATAGTTTAGTTGTCTCCTTTCCATAACATTTATTTAAAAAGTATAGTCTATGCACCTTCACAGAGAAGTCAGTTATCAGTGCTAACAAACTAATACACACTTTTCTAATCAGATTGTGCAGTTATGAGGCGTTTGCGTGGAATTTTGAAGTCTATTCAACACTTGTTAAACACAAAATAAATGAATTACAAAATTCATCTCCTAAATCAAAGTAGTAACCATTCGGTTTTGTTTTGTAGGGATTTTATCGATATGATGAAAGTAGTTTTCATGACGAAGTGACACCAATCGGAGAATCGTTGAAGACTAATGAGTATCGCTGGACAACCGTTTCATCCTACTATGGGACTTGTCAGTAATGCGCATGCACAACCTCGTGAGGAATCGAGACAAAGATCGTCAGCTGTCATATCAACCAATAGGTTGGAATCTAATGAACTATTGATTACTTGTGTGCCCTTGTGATGTTGAACGATCATTTTTCCATGCCAGTGATAAGTATTCGCTTCATTAATTAATTACTCAACCGCAGAGGTAGTGAATTCTTAGTAGAACTGTGAGAAATCTGCCTCTAAGAAAGGCGCTAATGAATATTAGACAATCAGTTGGCCGTTACTTCCTAGAGACTTCATGCGTTAAATTATAATTTTTCAATAGAAATATTATGTATACATCTAAAAACAAAATGTACACAAACCTGACAGGTGAATGGCTTAAATGATGCATGTATATGCATGTGTTGTTTTAGTCCAGAATTTGAAGTAAAACACTTTGTACAGTGTGGACAACTGTAAACACGTTCACGTTCAGTGTTATTAGCATTACTATTCGTTACTTCTCTGCATAACTTTTCATTATTATTCGTTAAACTTTGTAAAATATCAACTGGACTTGTAGCATATGATGAAGTATTTTGAGTGAAATGAGTTGAATTAAAAATGTTCCACTTTTCACTGGAAATAACTGATGACTTTTGACATAGCTCATTGTGATGACTGTAATTAGATCTTAATTCACTAAAAAATGCAAAAGACGGAAACTATCAAAATTCCTGAAGATTAATAATATATCTTAATAATATTAGTTTATCTTACGGCAATCTACAGGAGCTAAAAGGCTTCAGAACTGACGGAACGTTCTCTATTTCTTCCTTACCTGTAGATATTTCACGGATAACATGGAAGAGTACTTGACAAGATCTTCACAATCTTTAGTCGTTTCATCTGCGCAACTCATTACAATTCTCGACGAAAGTGAATAAATTAGACATCTTTTTCTGCTCAGTACAGTTCAGTTTTTAGAAATGAGTGTAACGACCATCCTACTTCAGTATTCTCCAAACCGATCTCAAAAGAAAATCGTCTAATCCTTTCAGGAAACATCAAAAAATGTAAAGTAACTGAGTTTACGTCCGATTCAGATATAAGGCTAACCAACTGGTAGTAATCTTCAAACTACTGTGACTTCATTGTCCGTATTTTCATTACATGCCATATATAGCTTATACAGACGAAACATCTCATTTGTCTGGTGTAACGCAGTGTTTTCTTTGTTTATCATGAAGTAATCTGCTAATATGCTATTGAATATTAACCCTATTACCACTCCATCGTTCCTGCTAAACTTTAGCTCTTCCTCTCAAGTCGATAATGTGTTCAATGGATGTGTTAATGATAACCTCTCACCTTGTGCTAGATCTATATGTGTCTGCAAGTTTATTTAGTTTCTAAAGAGTTAGTTATATAGACAGAACAAAATGAACATCTTCGAAAAGAATCTCCGAACGCTTCTCCCTGTGGCTATCAAAAATCCACAAACATTATAATACTTAAGCGCATAGCGATTCTAATTCATACCTGAAGTCTGTACAAAGAAGAATTATGTTTAATCTTTCTCGTTATTATTCTTGATCGAACTGATCTACCTGAGTTGCGTAAGGGGTCCTATGAGAATGCCATTATATCGCTTGATTATTTACCGTACTGCAAACATACGTCAATCCGTTTTATCCAGAATAACAACAAGAAATTTGAAGCATCAAACATTAACTGATAACCGTTACACAAGAGGTGACTGTCATGTGCCAGTAGCCTAGTGGATAATGTTTGGCATTTGAAATGATGGTTGCCGTGTTAGAGTCACCGTGGGAACAACATCAATCATTGGGGTACAGGTACGTTTAGGTGACAAGTACAAATAGAACGAAATGCGCTTTATGGATTCCCCTATTGGGCACCACCAAGCAAATTATAATTCTTTCTTCTGTTGTTTAATGCTATGGTAATCACGTGACCCTTTTAGTTCCATAGCCTTAGTAAATGACACCATGAAGACGAAAATTTTCTTCACGGAAGTGTCTTCCACCCTAGATTCTGGAGTTTTAAACAGTTTTTCCCTCTACATATGAAAACTGTCTTAAAACTATTTCGATTGTTTAAGGATCATTTAACTAATAATAATTTTTGAACTTGAAACATGAAAATAAGTTGTCATTATCTTGTTTAAATGACATTAAGAATTTGTCGGTGACTGACTGACTTAGAAATGATCAGCTGTCTCTCAAATGGTTCCTTGCTGTCAACTTCCACTTTTCTATGAAGTTCCTTAGTTTGCAGAATTGTATAATATAACCGTTATCACCATATTAAGGAATTTGGCTTATGTGACGTGAATTAATTTCTAAAAAGAATTGCATTAGAATCCTTCAGATTTACTACATTTTGATGGGGTTATCACGAACCAATCAGTTGAAATGTATTATCTAGCTTCGATGAATATTATCTTTGAACCAAAAGAGATCTTTTTACAACCTGCGTTTATCCGTAGTACTGATTAACATGAAATAGTCATTGAAAAGAAAACAAAGTGGATCTTAAGTTCAAAGTTTTGTATAAAACTTGTCGACTGTAAGACGTAACTCAACAGGAATAACAACAATGCGCAATTCTGTGAAGTAGACAATTAGCCATACCTAGAACCAACTTTCTTTTTTTTATATGGGGCTAGTCAGTGAAAAACAGTGAAATCAGATTTTCTACCATTTGGCGTTTATCAGTAAAGCATAACTTTTGATATTTGTGTTGTACTGTGATAAATTTTCCTAACTTCTAGACACAACAACATATTTAGATTACTGCATCTCAGTGGAATCTATCAAAGCATTCAACTTTGACCATTTTCAGTCATCTTACATTCAACTTTAGTGAAAATTTTGCATCCATAAAGAAATAGCTTGCTTTCTATCTTGATACAGAAAAATTTAAAGCAGCTATTTTGACTACAATTAAACCATGAACACTTAATGCCATTTAGAAGTGTCAATGAGATGGAAACCACTTGAGCAATTTCATTCCGATTTTTTCCAGCTGATAATATACAAATGACAACATAACAGGAGTGATGACATCAAGACTGGGTCACAGTCGTATGACTTCTGTTATTGAGAACCCCACTGCAGGCTACTTACTAATGATCTATAATCTAAAACTATCCAAAGTACTGATGTGTTTTTATTATAATCGTAATTTCTCGTTGTAATACAGGGTCGAATTGCTTGACCTTTGCTGTTAGCAGATGGTCTATGCGGACGCCTCGATACTGCCAGACTTTTTATGATGTTATGATCGTCTTAGTGACTAACAGAGGAATCCAGAACTCCAGTTTGTCCTATTCTGGGCTCATCAGCTAGATGTACCTCACCGACACTCAAACCCAGTACCCATCGCTTCAAACAACAACGCGTAATGTACTATGCTAGTGGAGCATAACAGTCACCCCTTGTGCAACGAGTATCAGTTTTTGTTCTGATAATTATTATTTACCGTTGATACGCATGAATATCCAGCAGTATTAAGGCATTCGCAAAACAGCCCATCTGACAACAGAGGTCGAGCGTTTCGATTCTTTACAACTACGGGGAATTATAAGTACTATTACGATAACTAGTACTCGTTGCACAAGAGGTGGCTATCATACCACGGTGGCATAGTGGACATCGCGTCGGCGTCTGATGCGATGGTTACTGGGTCCGACCCCCAGTGGCGACAACATAATTCACTGAGGAGAAGGTGCATTCGTCTGACAAGTCATAAATAGGACGAAGCGTACATCCTAGCTTCCTCGCTAGTCACCAACGTGTATATACTGAAGTGCTTGATGGAAATTTTCTCTTTCTTCCAACTCCCATATTTATGTCAGTTTATCCTAAGCTACTGACTGTCACAAGGAAATATCTTCATTTATTCCCCAAATAGCTACATTTTGATGGCTACTGAATTTCACAGAACTCTTTGTTATACACTTCTTATACCTACAACATTCAGTGTATTTGAAAGCACAAAACACTGTTCTGATGTTTAAGATGATGATTCCAGTCGTCTAGTGTCAGTGGAAACGCTATCACTCAGTAGGATACAAGTAGGTCCAGCTGATGAATCGCAAGATAAGATGAAACACATGTCTTGGATTTCAGTGCTAGCCACCACCAAGTAGATATCATCCAAGTAAAAATTTAGACAATACTGAGGCATCTGTTAAAGAAACTTATATACCAACAAAGAACAGTCAGTTGTATCGGGTATGATGATCACCGGGGAATGATAAGCATTAATAAATAAGGAATCAAACTCGGTTGTATTTAATGAGAACAGAGAAATGAGAAGAAGCGGTGAATAGGAAGTTGGTAAATTATTGATATAGTAGGCATGATTAAGTCATCATCTATATGACAAGGAGAGGGATTCACTTATGAGATAAAGATTACATCGTCATCATTAGTACGTTGAAGGTGAAAAGTCAGCATTTTAGCCAGTTATTCATTAAAAAACTTGTCTTCTATGACTAATCTTTTGTAATGAATATAGACTTCAGAATATCACAAATAAGTAAGCATTCGAACAAGTTTTGTCGCATTTCTCTTGCCGAAAGGGTTCGAAATGATTATAGTGAAGTCTACAGTGAGAAAATGGGCTAACAATAAAAATTTTACGGTTTTTCAGGTAATAATGTTTGGGTATTTTCCGAGCTAACATACTTTTTCTTGTGTCTATACCGAACAGTGTGATATGATACTTCACCGTAAATACTCGTGTAGAAGGAAAAATCTACTGTCACTTTTTTCGCGAAATTCTCTCATTTCTTAGCACAGAGAAATGCGTTGCACTCAGAAGATTTTGAAAGGATGGAAAAGATGAGTAGTTTAGAGGACACTAAACTATCATCGTCTTTATTCTGAGGTCAAAATCTTAAAACCAAGAATCTTTAAGACAGTCCGAAAGCTAAATTACTGTAATCCTTTATTTAATGCGATTACTGACACAAAATTCCATCATTTCTTCTCAACTGTATCGTTATTTGTTGCTTTGATACTTGTAATTTCCTATTGCTATACAGTGTCAAATTTCTTGAACCCTGGGTTTGAGTCTCAGAGGAAACAACACCACTCATTGGGGTGGAGATACATCATGCTAATGAGTCCTAAATGGGACAAAATCCAGGTTTTGAATTCGAAGATGAATACTGCATCAACATTTATTGACAAAATGTAGTGAACTGCAGTTTCCCACATTCTTTCATTAATTTACAAATCATAGTTGTCTATGCATTCAATAGAAGTTTAATTTGTTTACACAAACTAGGAATTCATCATGTTCAGTAATGAAGTGAGAGTAATCCCTTGGAAGTTATTAAAACAGAGATTGACCAAAAGATCTCAAGCAAATAAGCAGCGTTACCGCGAGATCACTATCAACATTTTTCTTTTAATGCAACTAATTTTTAAACCCTAATGCAAAAAAACGCAGTATAATTATAAAGTAAACATTCAGATACAATGTTTCATACCTTAAACTTCAAAAGCATCATACTCAGTCAGTCGGTCTATGTCAGTATGGAATCCAGCATTACTGACTAGCAGTCGAAGCTACCACGACTCATACCGGGAATGTACCAAGATAAAAGACAAAGAAACGAGGAGGAAAGTAGTAAAAAGAGAACATTCAACAATAAAACAGTAATAAAGTTCTGCATGATGATTAGGAAGGAGATAATGTATTGAGACACATGCACTACTGTGTTCAATCCCCAGTCATGTCACCTTGAATCTCCAACCACTGGTTTCTGTTGTCATACGGACACCAAATGGGAAGTCAACATTCTTCTACATGACTCAAAGCATCAGACATTGACTTCATAGACTGACGGTTTGTTTTGGTAAGCAAAATTTTCCTACCGGGTAGACTGGTGATCTGGTGTGCACAATACATGTCCCAGTCACCCCATTTGATGATAGCTCCCATTCTAATCAACTGATTTTCCACTCTTCCCTATACTCTGTACCTGACATCTGCGTTACTGACACCATGACACCTCAACGCACAGCATATGCTGCGAAGATAATGGTGATCGAACACCTTGAAACTTCTCATGTCCTCTACCTTCAGTGGCCATGTTTCACTGTAATATAGTAGAGCAGAGTGAACTGCAGTGCAACACACTGGGTGCTTATTAGCCACTTGGGTATTACGGAGGTGCCCTAAATGGTCTAATCCGACAATAGCCAATCCAGCCTTTTGTATTTCAGCAGAGATGTAGTCGGTCACTAACCCAGGAAAGCTTACTTCGATTACTAACTTAATGGGTTCATCGAAGAGCTCAACCACTTGTTAGACAAGACACCAAAGCAAACTAGTCGTGAAGCAGAAATTTGCATTCGGGTGGGAAGAGATCCATCCCAAACATCCTAAAATTGGCACTCACGGTCTCCATTAGTCTATCTTGTCAGCCGCTTCATCCAACACGACTATCATTATCAATACCTTCATCGTCAAATACCAGAGCTTAAATTCCTTTATAATGTAAACGGAAATACTGTTTACCCCTTTATTTTGTTGCTTTTTTAAAGCTAAGAATGGCTTACGATAATTACATTTTGTTCAGTCATTTACTGTTAGCACTTTACTGTGCAAATGACCCTTGAATTTCTGTTCTATAGTTACTAAAGTAACTATGGGAAAGAATCTTACTGAAAAACTTTCACCTCGTTTTCGTACACCTTGAAGGAACAATTTACATAATGGCGGTGAACTAGATTGCAGACTGATTTTCGTGGGCGAAAACAAAAGATGAGTAGTAAAGAAAAGCTGGCTATTGACATAAATTGAATTAGAAGTCGGTGAGTTGACCCCTCAGAGTTTTAGTAACTGAGTAGTAGAATTCAGGAAGCGCGCATATATTGCTAGTCACCAAGATGAATATAATATCATATATATCAAGTAGTATCAAGACATCCACATAGAAGTCCATTTGCCATCAGCAGAGGTCTAGCAGTTCAGCCCCGTACAGCAACAAGAAATTAAAGTTGTGAAACGACAACATATTATTACATGCAGTGTCTCTCACAAGCTTATAGATACCTAAACCGAAAGTCTCTGCCGCCTCCAGTCTTCTAAGGAGAGTACACACTAGAATAACGGAAGAGGAGAGAGTTAAGGAATTCAAGAACGTGAACAAGATACTTCAAATAAATAATTATCTGGCGAAATTCATTCACAAAATAGACAATGATATAAAACTAAATCGTAAGCGTACTTATAAATCATAAGCCATAACAATATTCATTCGGTACACTTCACACACCTAAGATTAGATTAGGAGAGGGTTCAACAAATACAATATCAGAGTGTTCTACAGAACATCAAACACATTGCAGAGCACCTTATCTCATATGAAGGACAAAACTCCTCCAGATTCACAATCTAATTTAGTTTATAAAATGAAGTGCTTGGACTGCTTTGGAACTTCATTTGAAATCAAAATTATGAAATATGAAAACTAAAGGGCTTTCATCCGAACCTACAGAAATTCAGTAGAGCTGAAAAAGTTTGAATATACTCCAGCTGTACCTCTACACACTATAATTTTGGGGCACAGGGTCGACTTCAGCAGTATCGAAATTATTCAGAAACGCTTTCGAAATTGTAGGAAGCGTCTCATAGCTGAATCTCATGACGTAAAGTGGAATCCAAATTGTCTAAGTAGGAATGAGAGAATAAAAAGTAATTTGACCTAGTCTCGACCAACCACCTTATACTGATTTAAGTCGCATACATACGATAAGAACTATCAGCATATGTGTACATGCAAATCTCACTCTGTAATTCATGCAAAAGATTTGTTTATCTTATTAGTTGTAATATACTTCACCAGAAAAGCATAAATAAAATACACTTTATACAATGAATTCATACACTCGTCAGCAGCCTGCTTAAACCTTGGGCTACGAGAAATATTTTCCACCGAGTATATTTCATCAAATTCTTCCCTTTCCGTTCGCTTTAAAACGCTTTCATGTACTCTCCACCTTTTTAAAATGCTTTCAAACTATCGTTTCTCAAGTTAAGAATGAAACAAAAAAAAACGTTATGCCGAAAAATACAGCACAGTACTATTCCTAGGATACCTATATAGAACTGCTAATTTTTGTACTGGTTGACTGAAATACCACCACCATAACTACAATAGGTTTTGTATTCATTTCGAAGCCCAAACTAGACGCTAATATAACACCGCCTGTCCGTTTCACATAAGTGTCTTTAAAACTGTTGTTATTAACACTATTCAAACGCAAAAGAAATTTTTCTTCTAAATTGGATTGGGGTGCGTATTTGTTGAAATATTACCTGCTGAAAATTCCATAATATATCAGACATGTTCTTTGGAAAAAAAACTATTATTATTACTTTTATTATACACTACATATACATATCATCTTTGTTTCAACACTTTGACCAAGCAGAATTGTCCACCAAGTAGAACTCATATTAAGTTATCGTTTGCAAGCTTGGATATTGTAAATTTCTCTGTAAGTAGCGAAACATAAGTTAAAACCAACTTATTTTGTTTTAGATTCATTTGAAAATATAAATACTGAATGTCTCTCACAGGCTGTTTTATTACTTTGCTACATAAAAAGTTGACAGTGAAACGACCTCATAGTAAACCTCTATGAATAATGTGATTTACCACTGAACATAATGAAAACCCAGTATGTCAGTTGGATGGACGCAACAGACAAGAAGCCCTTTTTGACCAGGGTTTCATGCTTTTTAGCACTCATCAGCAACGTGCATCTGCATCCTTAACGGAACTGATGTCCCACCTGAGATTCAAGGCGGCATCATCCAGTACCTCAGTCAGAGACGTTACCACTAAGCTACTCAGGTTGCAACTGACCTCCCCTAGGATAAATTAGGTACATGTGTTATCCACTGGAGAACAAGCAATTTCACGCAGTCTAATCTCAAGTGTTGATTGAATTCTGTTTGCTAAAATAAAATATAACGAAACGCCTTACTTATATATATTAAGTCATTACGGGTAAAACATTCAAACTTACGTTTGTTTTTCTGTGTTAATCTTCCATTGCAGCTTACTGTTCAAGTGGTCAGATTGTTCTCGAAAAATGCGCAAAAGTACCCAAGGAGGTGGTACAATTAGTGGTATTGGCCAAATATTTCTCAAGTGACAAATATGCGGACGGTTAATATGTTTCGGATTCATTAAAGAATTGGCTGTAGTAACACTTGTACAATAACAAATACTATTGCTACTACTATTGAACATTGAAACTTGAAAGTCTTTCATGGTCTATACATTTAAACAAGGGCGTAAACATTAAATTTTAAATGAGAAACTGAACAAGTTTTCAACAGTTGATAACCTCAATCAGTGGTTATTGCACACCATATATCGTCGAGTTATATGTGAATATACATATCATTATTTGTTTTTAGAAGTTATTGTTCATTTTCTTGAATCAAGGACCAGTTGTTACTTTTTAACAGTATCATTTATAAGACTGTTTATCATTCATAGAATATTTTCATCCCAGTGATGAAAGAGTTTTGCTTCCCTTAATGAAAATTTTTCTCTTCCATATAAAGTAAAAAAAACAAGTTTGAAAGAGATTATAATGTTCTTCCCCTTTGAACAACTACAAAATTTATTGTCTTCTTTTACGTCCTATACTTTTTGTTTGGGCCTTATTCCGCATAAAATAACTTGCTGCTTATTTGTAGGTTGATTTCTTAGAATCAGACTGAGTTAGAGAGAGATGTAACAAGATAAACTAGTGTAAGGAATGATAAGATATGAAAAGGAATAAGATGAGATGTGGATGAAAATAAATCCAACTAAAAAGGATGAAGTTGATGCCAACAACCAATAGGAATTAAGGAAAAAGTGGTAGTCGGATCAGAGATGAATTGAAACTTGCTGTCAACACAAAAAATTAATAAATTCAAAGACTTATAGTTCATATTATTATTACTATTATTAGGTGTAATTTTGAAACCTGGTCCATGAAATCTTCTGAAATAATGTTAGATCTTTCAGATAACAGTGCTATGCATACTGGTTTCTGAGATGAAACACCAATTGTTGTTATTAAAGTAGGACATCAAGTGTATAGTGCTGTGACCTACTGGTATAGATATTTAACTTCCGATATATGATTCACGAACTCAAACCAATCCCCTCCTGCTAAGGTTTAAGCAGCCAGGTGGTGACCCTAACCCTAAGGCAATAGATGTGGCTTATTGCCTACTATAGAAGTGTGGAAAAGGTTGTTGAGTTGATTTTGATTCAATTTGTGATTTGATAAGTTCTGAAACACCCTTCAAGTTGTAGTACTGAACTAAAGTGTTATCCGGCCTTCAATAGTAACTGCATTCTATTGAGTAGTTTTTTGATACGGTAGAAGGTTGAACGTTTCATTTATTTGTTACTCATAGTGTTAAGGTTCATGACTTCTTTAAATGCACCAGGAACCTAGTTTCCACGCCTGTGGAAACACATGGACAGCAGAGAAAAGCTTTGCTATGTGCTGAGCACTTAGAGCTTAAGAGACGCCTCAGTTATCTTATGATGACCAGTTCTAGTGGATAGTACAATCCTGAAGGAGGCTGATCATGACCTGAGTAGTTCGCTGACCAAGTCACTGACTTTGACTGCAGGCGCTGAACTTTAGAATCATGGAAGGAATATAAACTTTGGCATAGTTACGGATATGCCTTCATAGCAAATTCTAAGAGTTAGGAAATTTTGGCTTAGGAGTTCATGCCAGGTAACTTGCATCACTTGACACTGAGCGAAAATCTTTTAGAAAACACAGTCAGTGTCATTCACATAGAATTCCGAAAGTTTATTGCAGAGATGAATTTTCAAGCTAAATAATTCAGTTCTGGAAAAACTACATTTGAACACTGGACTTCGGATCAGTATGATATTATAAAATGTAACGTTTTATATCACAAGTTGGTCAACTTTCAAATCTTTAAATTGGATTCTTTGATTCTGTGTTCCCGATTAAATATAACAGTTTTATTATTTCGATCTTGAAAGGGAGATTTAGCAACAAAGTTGCTAGTTGGTTTAATTTGGTTTACTTTTTTTATCATGTTACACTATTTTGGACTTAGTGCAACAGAAAGGTGATTGTAGCTGATTTCGTGGCCACTTTTTTCCTCTCCGATATGCATTCCAAACATATCCACTTCAAACAACTAAACTTAACCAGTTTAAACTGTGGCAGTGTCGAGGTGCATGCATAGCAGCCCATCTACCAACAAAGGTCACGCAATCCAATGCTGCAAAGTAGTAGGGAATTAAAAGTATCAACTGATACCTGTTATGCATAGGTGGCTCTCATGTCACAATGGCCTAACAGACAACGCTCTGGCATTTTAAACGATGAGTACTGGCTCTCAGTGGGAATACCACTGTTAACTGGGATGCAGGCACATCCAGCTGACCAGTCGCAAGTCATATGAAACGTGTGCCCCGGATTCCACTGCTAGTCACCAAGATGAATAATCCTAGGAGATTTTTAGTTTCACTACTGGTGGATGAAGGTAAGGAATCCTGCCCAGTTCCTAGGAAGTTAATTTGATACTCACAGCACTGAGGAAGTCAAATGAAGCAATATAACTGCAATAAAAAGACACACGTCAAGCTGATTGTCCCAGAGCAATCATCACACTTTGTAACTTTATATTTGAGTACCCTGATCACAATAAAAATTGGGTAAAATATGTTCAGTGCCAGATACACGATAACGCCAAAGTATGATGATTACAGAAAAACAAGGCGGAGCCATTGGGTCGGAATCCAATAGTTAACAGTTTCCTACTTCAGTCACTTTTCGACATAGCATAACCTTCATCGAGTGTCGTTTCTTAGTATATGTCCTCAAGTACAACTTATTCTTCAACTGTTTTCCATATTAAACGACATCACCCCTAGTACTGTTGTCCATTTTATTCCCATGTTGATGGTAGTAAATCGTCTAAAAGATTATTCCTTGGCAGTGGTCAGCAGTAGTTGATAATAAGCAATGGGAGATGCATTCAGAAATCAATAACAGGCTCTTAACAATAAGGCATAAATATCTTGAACAAAGTGTATATTTACATAAGCATTTTAACTGATGAAACTCTATATTAATGTTTGATGGTAATGCTGCGAAAAGATTCTGTGTTGGTTTGTACTAGTCGAAGAGCCTGTCTGATATCTAAAAAAAAATGCTGTCCCCTCCAGCCCAGAGATTCCTACTTGAACACTTGTTAAGCAGACTGGTGTGATATGTGACTACGTGAACCGAAGCGTGTTGACTTTGTCTGTCTGTATATATGACAACAAATGACGTTTAAAATCGTACGTTAAGTATTTCCGTGTATGCGAACTTCCTTTATTCTTACGCATATTATCGAAATGTTTTTCCAAGACCTTATTCCTCAGGATTTCCAAAGTTTTCCAGACAGCTGTATTTAAAACGTCCTCATGCCGACTTTCAGATGAATACTTTGACTTTACGCTCATGCCTAACAGTATTACTTTAAGAAACAATACTCAGTGGCCTAGTGGATAATGCTTTGGTATTTGGAGCGATGGTTGCTACGTTCGAGGTGCAGGTGTATCCGGATGAAGAGTCTTGAATGGGATGAAACCCGCGTTCTGCACTCCTCTGCTACCCACACTCAAGTAAATTACTGATAACAGTTTACAATTCCTACCCTTCAGAAGATTTTGTGTAGTATATGTATCTTGAAGTCTCTTCAGAAGGTAGTTGACTTCAAAACGTACTTAAAAGAAACATTTCATTTCAAGGAATTATACGATGTTTATCGGTCGAACACTTTTGTAACTACAGCTGCCTCTCCCCCGATTGTTTATCATGATGACAAATAACATTCGAAGTGCCATGAGAAGGCCATAAATATTGTCTGCTTCGAGATACTTTCATCAATAAAAAGGCACATGAAAATAATAATGAACTCTCAGAAATGACAGAAAACTATTTAGGTGTTGCAAATAAAAGCTGCTTTATCATTATCCTGAAGAAAAAATTACTGTCAAGAACATAAAAAGACGGGCATGACAGTTCGAGGAAATCTCCATGAATTCCATTTAAAAGACTGTGAAAGTATTTTAATTTTTTTCCAGGAAAATAGATACTGCTATTTATCATCACCATGCTTTAATATGGGTTTTAAACATAGTTGAAAACATATATTCGATTTCCTTGTATGTATGGTTCGATTCGGTAGAGAAGGTCCCTTATGTCAAGGTAGCGATTTGTTAGGGAAATAAGATTTTGGTTCACTTTGAAGGTGTGTGGATTGACTGATTCCAAGGTAGAATCCATCACTGAGTGATATTAAAAGGAAAACCTAGGAGCACCGAGCAGATGCTTCGTCCTATATTGAAAGTCCGTAGCAGTAACCATCCACGGCACCCCAAGTCTCGAACCCAAGAAGTTAAGCCTTGAAGCAACTAAGCTGCAACCCAACAGTCCACATTTTCCAACCTCCGTTGGACGATCCGTAATATAGCACCTACTGTTCAATGCCACCGGCAAGCATTTTTCCTCAAACCTGACTTGGTTGACCCTACAGACCATTAGAACTTCGGAAAATTCCTCTTGAAGAATTTTAATGGAATTATCTTAAAAGTGAAAAGTGATATCGAAGAGAAGTGCGTGAGAACATTTAAGCGAGTGAAGAAAGGCTAGTTCGAAATGCATGATTACTTAGTACAAAATAGGTCCAGCCGCCCTTGTTAACTTTTACATAGCGTTTTGAAACGAGTATAACTCACATCTGTAGCCTAAAAAGGGCATTGTTTCTTAAAGTCATGCCACTAATTTAAAAATCTACAAATAAATTTAACCTAGTAGTTGAGAAGCAGTTTATGTATTAGAGTGTTAACCTCATTTAGTCTATATTGGGTGATGACTGAAAGTGAAATGAAAATCTGGGTCGCTGCTGGATTCGAACCAGAAATCATTGGGTTTCCGGGATGATGTTCTATGGATTGAGCTACAAGATCTAACTAGTGATCAGGTTTTTATTTCACTTCAATCATCAACGGGTTTTCCTGACTCCCATATGAACTCGTGACCTAATACTGCTGCTTCATCTTACTCCCATTGACTGAACAGTCAAAACTTCTCATCCCACTCTAAATCTATTCAAATTAGAGAGAAGGAGTACTATATTGATCATCAGTTGACTAGTCGAAATAGCCGTGATTTGGTAGACTTGTATGGAGACTGGGTGATGACT